CAAACTCCGGCTCGGATCCCCTCTGAGCTTTGCGGCTTTTCTGCATTGTCTGTCGGTTTGTCCGTCCTTCGGGGAGGGGGCTGCGAGCGGTCCCCTCCGAGAATTCAGCTTTTAGACCGTTTTTTCTCTCCAAATGGCCAACGGAGGCAGCTCGACGCTGTTTCCTACGATGGTAGCATCCAGACGTCGTCTTATGGCAATAAAAGGGATCGTGGCCCCGTATTGGATAAACTGGCCCCTGGGGCTCACTGTAATGTTCTTTCTCGGCGACGAGGCCGACTAATTTCATGTCAAAACAAAGTGACCGCTCCGCCTTGTCAGATGTAGCCCAATGGGTTAGAATGCTAGAATACAATATCATCGAAATATCAGAGCGGGGAATAAGCGTTTGGGAATCAACAGGAGGGTAGAGACTCTATAGACGATAATAATGCCGAATGCGTCTTCAAATATAAACAGAGGATCATCAACTTTCACGGGCATCTGGCTGAGTATAAGTTATCTAGGTACCGGTAATTTAGTATCTTCAAAGTTCCCTCCAAAACCCGTGACAGTCACTTTGTCGGAAAGCCCACCGAGAAACTCCACGGGGAACGACCACTTCCCTCTCGAGCTGCGTCTTCCTACGGAGAGGAATGCTCAGGTCGAACACGAGGTCCTAGACCCGCAAGATACTCGACTACCCCGTCGCTTGAGTTAAGACTATGGATGAATCTCACCCACTCACATCAGTCATCAGTTCCTTCCAGTCTCAGTCCCAGGGGCAGCGAGGATGGGCTAATTCCCGGAGCCTCGGAAAGAAGGGACTCAGCAATCTGGACAGGCTCGTCGCAACCAGATCTCTTCCGGTGACTCCCGGATTTCTATCTCACGATTTTTCGGGGAGAAAATAAGACTCTCATCGTCGCGTCGACGAAGACTCGGTGGCTAATTATGACGCCCTCCTCGAGATATATTCAGGGAAAGAGAACCCTATAATTAGTCAGCAATTTCTATCAGCCTCCTCGGTCTGCTGCCAGGACTACTTCCGCTCTCCGGTGCTCAAATAATTGAACGAGAGTCCTGGAGAAAAAAAACGGTCACGCCATTACCCACTTAAATATAGTGCACAGATGTTCGCTGCGCCGGACTACTGACTGAGAAAGACTGCCGGCGAGAATTGCAATGTGTTTCCCTCGCGTCATCCTCTTCTTTAAAAGATGCTCGCGGGCCACCACGATGTGGTCCGGAATATTGTGAGTTGAGAAAATCGGTCGAATACGGCTGCGAGAACTTGACTCGAATCTTGACTCCCTCCGCCTCGCTAGCGGAAGAAGAGCGTATGGAGTTCGCGACAGTGGGAGAACCATCACAAATCAGCCGATCCGGCATTACTTCTGCAGTGCAATCTGTGGCTTCGAAGGAAGCGACGGCAAGTTAGTCGGCTAGGCCGAGGGTCCGAGCTCCCTTGAGAGCTCTTATCGCGGGGTGGGTGCGGTCGACCCGTGGTCCTTCCGCAGCAGTCGCATCTATTAGAGTTTTTATTCGTGATGATGATGATGATGATAATAGTAATAATATTACAATAGAAAGCTAGGCAGATTTTTGGGGATTCCGAGAGAGGCTCACGCAACGGAAAAAAGCGAATGGCGTCCGAACAAAGAGGCTGCCGAGACTATTTTTAGTCATGCCGGCTATCTGGCTGTCCGGCCGGCTGGCTGCGAAACTAGGCGATCGGGCGGCGAATGTACGGCCTTGCATACATGCATAGAATCCATCTTGCGTCAGATGTGCTTGGGTTATCGAAGAGACGCGATTCCTCCACGTGCAGCTATGAATAGTTCTGCGTCGACGGAGATCCTTTCGCTTTCCCGCCCGGATGGCCGTCGATGACATTGTTGCCCAAGTATCGAGTTTGTGTCTCGCTAAGTGAGCTGTAGTCGGTTCTGACCGTACGAGACCGATCCAGGGCTCTCTGAGAGCTCTTCCGAGGAACCGGACAGACGATTCTACCCTTGCGTCGGTTCCCCTCAACGAATCGTGTCGAATATCACCATGCTCCATAACGTGGAAATACTGTCGAGCTGCACAGAGTCGCTGAGAGGTGACTTTTTTGATATGCCAGCCTGCGCGTTGAGGCTTCATTAGCACGCAGAGCACCGTCTAACGAGCGATTAATCTAACCGCCAAGAGCTGGCTGAGCTAGCAATGTTCGTGGTGGAAGCTGAGCGTCGCGTTAACACTCAGCTCCTCCTTGGTCTGTGCGCCTACCGTTGCCGCTCGAATCTGAATCTCGGGATCGAACACCTCAATCTGCAGTTTCCTTGCGACCTCCAGGCGAATCCGCGACCATCGGGGCGGCTCTCGATCTTCTCTCGCCGGAAGGTTTCGCAAGAACGCGGCGACCTCCTTCTCAATCAGAGAGCTCTAATCTATGATAACACTCGATGGAGACATTTATAAAATTGCGGAAAAACTCTAATTCGATTGCCCACAGCTCGTAGGTTATGTGTTGAACCTATTGGCGGCTAAGCGGCTGAAAGTTTTTCGTACGGCCAGCGCAGAGTGATAATAATCCGCGGAATTACCCCTCCCGTCTAGGGAAGCGAAACTTTGTTGTTTTGGACCAGTGGCGTTGTGCCTCCTTTCGGGGTCTGGAAAGCATCCAGAGTTCGTTCTTTGGTCGGTCGGTCGGTCGATTGCTTATTCGCTCGGGTGGCTGGCTGCTGCTCGGTGTCTGTCTGCCGCCGCGGCTGCCCGTTCGACTGCTCGTCTGTGTGGTTTGCAAGCTTTTGAGTTTGCAGTGGGCAACGGAGCGGACCAAAGAGTTCATGACCTGGTCCATCGGCACCCGGCGCGGCGCCCTCTGGGTGCTCCGCAATTACCTACTTCTGTCACGTTCCATTTAATGTCTACGATCCGAAGGAACGCCATCCAGGTAGAAACGCTCCGATAGACTTCACGTGGTCTTTCGGTGGGAGCCTGTCTGTCTACCTACCGCGGATCCTCATAACAGCTCCGAACTCCCCCGATATGAAGTCTGCCGAGCTCTGCCATCCGTATTTTCGGCATCGAATTCATTTCGACTAGGTTCCACCTTGCGCTCCCCGGAGTCATCCAAGCCGACGCCCCTCAACCTCCGTACACATATTCCAGGGAAGCAAGCGCAGGCTCCGCTGGATTGGTCGAATCCCCATGTTCGGACTACCCTCAGAATCGAGCTTTTTGGTCTCAATGATCGATTCCCTGGACATTTTTCGAAGGGCAAGCGGATGTTTACGCGGAAATAAGCTCGAAAAATCCTCTCATCATCTGTCGCCTCCGAGTATCACTGATGAAAGCTCATATGACGTGAGGTATCCACGTGTGAGAGCTGTCGGCCTACTCGGCATGGAAGTAGGCGACCTCATCAAGGGGAGTCCGGAAGTCTATCACACCGCAAAGCTTACCCTTGAGGCTAACCTTGGCTTCGACTGTCGGACGGATTTGTGCCCGGGAACAGAATCCGCTTTCATCAAGAATGAGGGGAACGACATTTTTCCCTCAGCCGAATGATCGTCCAGCCGGATGTTCCTAAAGCCCAGCAGCTTATGAACACCCCTCTTGGAGTGCTTCCCAAGGGAACAGTGACGCCGTGTAGGTAGACCTGCGGACATGTTCGCTCATTCCTCGTGCGGTTGTCGAATTAAGTTTTTATTACTTCTGACGTGTATTGTTTCCATAAGCGAGTTATAGCAGCTGAGGGAGTCCATGAGAATGGTTCGACGGACGGAAAATGCACTGAAGCTGCACGACCAACGCAACGCCGCTTTGCCGTACGGAAACTCTAGGGTCAGAGAATACATGAGGCGGAGAAAGATCTGGGGGAGGACGGCAACGAGAAGCAGGGGAAGGGAAGAATAGCGCATGCCACATGGAGGAAAAGGAGATAGGGGCTGGGCGGGGAGGAAGTTTGAGGGACGAGGAAGGGAATGAGCCCTAGAAGAATTGCACGGGAAATGGGCGTGGGTTCGGAATGGGAAGTGGTGAGAAAGCGCTCGAAACGGTCGGGGGCAGCAAACAAAGAATTAGAAAAATGAAAAACAACGTGCCTCCGTGCGAGGTGCCTCGGCCCATAAGACACTCTACGACGTCGTTACGAAGTTTGCCGGGAAGTTGTTGTTTCCTCGACCGTCTTTGCTGAAACTACACGACTTTAACTCGCGTCACATGGAATCGAGCTTACGGCGATGGTGCGCTCTCTTGACGCGTAATTTGTCGCCGGGGCCTTCGGTGCTGCGCTAATTTGTGAGAATGTCTGGAAGGGAGCGATGTTTCCAAGAGCGACCGTCGATCCGATCGTTGAACCCATCGGTGCACCTTAACGGAGCGCGATCGAGCCTTCAGACAAGCGATCGGGTGGATACCAGAAACTGCCGATACATTGCTCCGAGAGTTATCAGCTCCAATCAGATGAAAACACGCTCGTTCCGCTAAGATTCATCCGTCACAATAAGATGCCTGACAACGTGCTGGGACTTCAATAATATTAATTCAAGTTTCCCGGGCTGCAAGCGCGATTCTATAGCTTTTTGCGATGCGAGTTTTCCACAACACGACACGCAAAATAAGCAACGTGCTGACGATTTCATTAGCCAAGTTTTACTTTCACGGGGCAGCAGCGAATCAAGGATAGATTATGTTTGTGAATGACCGATGACGTGATCATTGGATAACACCGTTTTTCATTGCTCTATATTCTGGTCATGTTAAATGAGCTCGGGGGGATTTTGTGTTGTGACCTTGACCAGCGAACACTGACGTTGTCTTGTAATCATTCGGGAAAATCTAGATGAAACAAATCAGCGGACCTGATCGCTAACGAGCATCCGCTCAATGTTTTTGTCTTGATTTCTGTTTGTCATCGCTCGTTTGCGAGTTCGCAAGTTTTTCTGTAACTTCGTCCGGCAAGGGGGAGAGAAGGTTCTCTCTCTTCAGGTCTCTTCTATATTTAGCTTGATTGCCTGCTGAAGTCTGCCAGGCGGGCTGCTAACAGATAACTGCCGAATCTGCTACAACATGGCTCCGAAGAATAATTCCGTGTGCTGGGCAAGTTTCTGCTACATAGTGAACATATATCGCTCACCCCACATACATCGACTTTGGCTATGACGAGAAGCCCCGAAAATCAAAATGTGAAACCCGGAACTCATCCGTGCATGTGGTCGTTCGAGGATATCTGTCCAGCCCCAGCTGCGTGTTCATAATCATTCTGAAATATCCCGACGTCCCGGAACGGAATCCAATCGACGGAGAGCTTCCGAACACAGGAGTGAATCTCGTTGAGGATGAAACTCTCCTTTTCTAATGCGAGTCGTGTTACAGGAAAAACTTCTCGTCGTGATCTTGTGCGCTATGGTGACTCTCGCTCAGGAGGATACGTCTAAAAATCAAGGTGAGTCACTCCTGACCTGCTGGGATTTCTTGCTATTCTCCCAATGTCGCCTCCGCGCTGGAAGTGACGCCCTTTGAACATCAGCTCGAAAGCAATCGATTCGTATAGGCGAATGCGGATATTGACTCCCCAGTCCGGCTTGACAAAAACGCGGGAAGCTCACGCATATCGGGAAGAGAACGCTTCTTCATTCTGAAACCCACGAATGCGTCTAATAGGTTGCATCAAGATCATTGATTCAATACGAGCAGTTTTCAAATTCTTCCAGTCGCTACGGGAGAGAACCCCAAAGATGCAGCACCTCGAAACGGATTTCTCGACATATTAGCTCCGTTCACAAATGTTGCGGTGATCAGAGATCGCTTCGTAGGGGTTCGAGCTCCTTTCACAAATGTCCTAGTCGAGAGGAAACCCGACCAAGGCGGTCTCTCAAAATTACTCATCGATGTTCCGTGAGTTTATTTGGAATCCTTGTGGACTTCGGGTCGTCGAACAGAGAACTACGGTATCGAGGTCACTCTCGCGCGGAAAGCGAACCATCGTTGACGAATGAATGTTGTGTTCCAGATTTTTCAAAATGGATCTAGGTGGACCAGATGGGTGAGACATGATTTCGATTCCGTCATATATTCGACGTTAGGTCGCGCTAGATTCTGATCCGCTAAGACTGAAAATTTGCTTCATTTCAGTTTGAAAATCGACGTACCGTTCTTCAATCAAATCCGGAGATCTGCTACTTGAAATAAATGTTTGTGATACCTCCCACGCCCGCTCAATGAGTTCTATATCCTGACGATGGATCTAGTCCATCTTTGTTTCCCTTACGATTCCTTCACACTCGCTTGCAGCGCGGCAATATTATCTTTATTCGCGAGGCTTGTGGAATTACCACCACGATATGTTCTCATACCACGTGGAAGGCTGCGCTTTCACAACGTTCATCATAGGTCGTACTCGACACATTGTCGAATTTCTGCTCAGCAAATACTCCAAGTCGAAATTCTTTCGGAAATAGAATGCACCCCTCCAGCGGGAGCACACATGTGTCGGAGCGTCGCCGGCGCAGATGAACTTGAAGGATTCGGGTACGGACGCTCGAATTCGCTGACCGTTGACCATGAGGTAATCGAGTCCAAACGTGACATTCAGCGTCTCCGTCGAGTTTTCCATCAGCGGTAAACAGCCGATAATTATTTGTACCGCTCGCTCGAATTCGACTTGCAATGGAATTTGATGCGAAGCGTAGGGAAATTCGTATTTGAATGTGCCCCCCACAAAGTGCGGGATGGCTCTCACGCCCCTCATGAGCGGGGCGACATCGAAGCAGAAATTCAGCGGGTCTTCGCCGACGTTCACGCAGGCTCTTTCCTCTCCTTCGTGATCCTGTTCCGACCCGAGCGCATTTCGATAAATCACTGATATCAAGGAGCCACAAATCACCGCAAGACACAGGATCTGTAGGAACTTTTTCCGCATCAGGAACTGTTGATAATAAGTCCAGAAAAGTGGACTCGTTTTCGAAGGGCTTGAGTCAAGGGGCATGGTAATCAGACAGATCACTGGAGTGAAAACTCCCACAGCGCAACCACGAGCAGAACAAGTCGATTTGTGAACTCATCAAGCACGCTCTGATATATATCAGCGAAGCGAGATATCTCGACGCACACATACATTCTATCTTGTTCGCAGACGAGCATTCGCGGTATCGAATTTCTCAGCGGTCAAAATGCTCGCGAGTTTCCGACCAAGATGTCTCCAGAATATATGGAACTGCTCTCGGGAAGTTTTATATGCAGGCGATATCCGTAATGGGCAGCGGTTTTTTCGCAGCTCGCATCGAGAGTCGCGCTGATGCCGATGCTTAGACTGAGATGCCGCGGGGCTGAATCGCGGGATCGTCAATAATGTCTCAGGGTCGTTCACGGCGAGACCGCGATGAGTCGCATCCCAAGGAGGAGCTCTCGAGTGGAGGGAGACCGTGAAAACTGCGGGTAGCTTTTTCCCTGAACACACTCAAAACCGAAGAACTACCCGTTGAACGTCGAATCTAAGGGTGGAGCGAAATATACGCATTACCGCAGTTCCATCCTCAACTCACCATGGGTACTCTTTCCCTCGTTCGAGCTGCAAGCTATCCGGGTGAAGGAGGTGAGAACGTCGAAATCGGGTCGTCGAAAAGAGGAATAAACTCGGATCACGTCTTCCGGCTAAATGTGCGGCCCGCCGCGCTCAACAAAATTCTCCCGATCGGTAGATGATTCGATGAAACATGAACTACTCCGCGCAAATAGAGACGAATGGTTTCCACTGTTCCATCGCGATGTGTTTATTTTTCACCAGCTCAGTACATAAGACGAATTTTCGCTCCGATGGAGGAGGTGCTCCTCGCTCGATTGTCGGTTCGCGACGTGAAGTAAGGCTCTCTCTGGAAAAAGAGCAGAAGTCGAGACGGATGTTTTTAGGAATGTTCATACTCTCTATGCCAATGAGTCATCGGGGTTTCCAAGAGGGCATTCAAGGCTTCGCCCCTTCAGCCAAGGAGCCACCTGGTGGAGGTGGTGGGTCGGACTCTCGTCGACACGTCGGACGTCACGGTCAGCTGGCCACCGGGAAGCAATGGGCCGTAAGGAGCGGGGAGTTCTTACCGGACGGTGCCCAGGATGATAATCTGAACTCTTCTGCACCCGCTCGAATGTGGAATGTCGGCAAGCAAATACCTCCGGGCTATTAGGATCAGCAGGCTTTGGACCTCCGAAAGTCCGCTACTGACTTCACGAGCGCTCGAATAAATTCCCACGTCTAGGATCAATCGACATCGACTCATTTCAATTTCCTCATGAACCAACTCTGGAGGCTCAGCTCAGAGGATCGAACAGCATCGCAGAGCTCTTCGGAACCGTTCGATCGGCCTTGAACCCCCCGGAGATTCCAGCGAGGCAGTGCCAGCGGCCTCTAGCCCCGGAAGAAGAATTATTGATCAGCTCTGCGCAAATTTCGATGGCCTTTCAGCTTCTGAAATAAGGAGCGCCTCTCGGCCGCAGATCTCGCTAACTTCCATCTCTGTCCGCTTCTCCCGGAATGTATCCCCGCTGTGGAGGGCGTCCCTCTGAGAAGCCATTCAGCCGGAAATCGCCAGTGACCACCGAATACCAATGTGCTCGCTAATACCTCATATACATAGCCATTCGTTGATGCGTTCTACTTAGGGACATATTCAACGGTGCGGAGAGTCTCCGCGGAGATTCGCTCCTTCGCGAACGCTGCGAGCCTCAAGGAGATCGGGACGTATTAGCAGTCCGTCCGAGGATCATTAAATTTTCGCGCTCCCCGAACTTCGGAGCGGACAGGATCATCTTCATACGGTTTGAGAGTGGAAATGGATACATCAGAACTGCGAAGGCCCCAGAAAAGACAACATTCCAGGAACCACACTTGAGCGCTGTTGTGTGATTTCGAAGCCGCCAGCTTCATCATCGGCAACGCCACCTCTTATTATTCGCTTCAGCGAAGAGAGTGCCCGGACGATCCGGAGGTGTGAACGTTCCAGGGATGGCTTCGACATTGGAGAATTCTCGGTAACGTTTTTAGAACATCCTCGCCGACGGAAAATGAGGGAGAAAATTGCAATCGGGCGATCGATCAAACCTGAAATCTGATTCGGAGAGATTTTTTGCCCAGGAGAGTGAGGCGTTCTTGGAAATCCTCCGAGCTCTGCTCCTCCACACCCTCTACCTTCGGTCCTCTTAGAGTCCTCTCCGGAAAAAATCAATCGAAGGAAGCTACGAATGCGGAAAATACGTGAGAAGTCAGACAGCCGGGCCCTCCGGACTGGGGAACACTTCGGCGATTGCTTCCCCTTCAGTCTGGAAATCCTCAATTCGACGACTCGGGTCCCGGCATACGCCGGAGGAATTCCGACGGTCGGCAGGCGAGAAGCGACGCGCTCCGATACTCGTAAGAGCATCCGTGCAAAGGCTCGGAAGCATGGCGGGAAAACAGCGACGTGAAAGTGCGAAGCTATTCCGGACGCTCACCGATGCAGGCGATAAACAGCCGCCCTGTTCGATGCCCATCCGATGCAGAAGTAAGTATGAACAATTATGCTGCGATCATTGTGAACACGTCGGATGTTGTAGCAGCAGCTCTCATCCGTCCGCATCCGAGCTGCGGTCCCTGACGGACCGTAAACGAACGGAAGCCAATTGGCTAATGTACATACATACATAGCTCCTACGTGCTGGTCTCCGAGAACAGGCGTGAATGTCTTCCGCGCTGTTGTAGACGGCGGTAAGAAGTGACGGGAAGTCCTCTGATTGTCGGCGACGTGGGCGGAGTTTCTCTACGGAAAACCGTACGGAGACCCTCACGGAAACCCTCCCGGAAACCCTCCCGGAAACCCTTCGAAGAACCTCAGGGCAGATATAAGCCTACTGTATAGATAGAAGAGAAGACTTTCTTTTCTGTCATGACAATGAGCCTAAGGAATGATTGCTAGCTCGTTGGACGTTGGACTACCGAACTTGCTTAGCTAGGAGCACGTCTCTTCGTGTGTATGATGGCAACGCCAGGCTCAGGGTGCACCGTTGAGGGCACGACAAGCTAGGCCGTCGAGATGCGTTCCGCATCGAGGGACTTCCGCTCTCAACGAATGATCGATGATTTATCACCGAACACATTTGTAAGGAGGCCTCGGGGTCATCCATATCAGCCTTGGAATCGCATCCAAGGAATGGGGAGAGTGGATGTTTCACGAGGATCTGCTGACATTCGGAATAGTGGACGACGAGGAATGAATAATCTACCAGGGTATCAGAGCTCGAGGCTCCGTCGCCCGGGAGCATTCCATTTTCCGGGTTGAGATCAACTATCCGAACAGCTGAGCATACGATCAACCTTGGAGTCGGAATTCCTAGTTGCCCACCTGAAAAATGCTCAACGGCGACCCGTGTTTCGATTTCTCTGTATCGATAGCGGAGTGACAATATCCTTTGTTAGGTACCTATAATGTGCCTAAGAAGCTCGCAGCGTCTACGAAAATGACGCGCTTCATCGGGGAATTCCGCGAAGGTCGCCGGCCGCTACGTGAAAGAATTCGCACGTTCTTCGACAGAAGCCGGGCGGAGGTTGGGCGAGTCGACGACGGCTGCTCTTGAGCTGGAACATCCTCCGAGGACTCCCCACAGCAGCCGGAGAGCGAGAATAGAAGCTGGATGTGACGTCTTATTCTTGCTCCGTAGGCACGAAAGATAAGCGGATGTGGCCGCCGCGGAGGCAGTGATCTTTTAGACTTAGGGCGAAGAAAAATTGCTGTTTCCCGCTTCGTTCTCGACACATGCTCACGAGGATTTCCCTCCGGGAAGAATTATTCCTTTCGAGAGGGCTCACACACTCGCTTAGGAGTTTCCTATTAGGTTTCTATCCCAGCTTGAGGGGGTTCGCACGAATTATCTCATCTTTGATTGAAACCGAAGCGGGAGGAGCTCTTTCCTATATATTGCCTGCAGGAACCGTGTCGGCTGGTGGTCAAAGGGCTCGAGCTCACACCACGGCCTCGGCCACCACCGAATCGCGGGGACAGTTGATTCTTCTCAGCGGAAGCTACAGTTGCCCTCGAGTCTCTCCCGGAACGAGTTTCTTCCGGGCGTTAGCAGAAAAGCCTCCACCCTTTCTTCCTGCCATATTGAGTTAGTCCTTTCTTTGCATTAGCATGTAATCAACTCAGGACTTTAGCGGTGCGCTGA